AGTCAATCACACTTCTGTGAAATCAAACTGTCCACTTAGGAAGCAACACTAATTGACAATACATGTCACATGCTGTTGTGCAAATGGAATAGACAACAGGTGGAAACAATAGGCAATTAGCAAGACACCCCCAATAAAGGACTGGTTTTGCAGGTGGTGACCACAGACCACTTCTCAGTTCCTATGCTTCCTGGCTGATGTTTTGGTCACTTTTGAATGCTGGCGGTGCTTTCACTCTAGTGGTAGCATGAGACGGAGTCTACAACCCACACAAGTGGCTCAGGTAGTGCAGCTCATCCAGGATGGCACATCAATGCGAGCTGTGGCAAGAAGGTTTGCTGTGTCTGTCAGCATAGTGTCCAGAACATGGAGGCGCTACCAGGAGACAGGCCAGTACATCAGGAGACGTGGAGGCCGTAGGAGGGCAACAACCCAGCAGCAGGACTGCTACCTCTGCCTTTGTGCAAGGAGGAGCAGGAGGAGCACTGCCAGAGCCCTGCAAAATGACCTCCAGCAGGCCACAAATGTGCATGTGTCTGCTCAAACGGTCAGAAACAGACTCCATGAGGGTGGTATGAGGGCCCGGCGTCCACAGGTGGGGGTTGTGCTTACAGCCCAACACCGTGCAGGACGTTTGGCATTTGCCAGAGAACACCAAGATTGGCAAATTCGCCACTGGCGCCCTGTGCTCTTCACAGATGAAAGCAGGTTCACACTGAGCACATGTGACAGACGTGACAGAGTCTGGAGACGCCGTGGAGAACGTTCTGCTGCCTGCAACATCCTCCAGCATGACCGGTTTGGCGGTGGGTCAGTCATGGTGTGGGGTGGCATTTCTTTGGGGGGCCGCACAGCCCTCCATGTGCTCGCAGAGGTAGCCTGACTGCCATTAGGTACCGAGATGAGATCCTCAGACCCCTTGAGAGACCATATGCTGGTGCGGTTGGCCCTGGGTTCCTCCTAATGCAAGACAATGCTAGACCTCATGTGGCTGGAGTGTGTCAGCAGTTCCTGCAAGAGGAAGGCATTGATGCTATGGACTGGCCCGCCCGTTCCCCAGACCTGAATCCAATTGAGCACATCTGGGACATCATGTCTCGCTCCATCCACCAATGCCACGTTGCACCACAGACTGTCCAGGAGTTGGCGGATGCTTTAGTCCAGGTCTGGGAGGAGATCCCTCAGGAGACCATCCACCACCTCATCAGGAGCATGCCCAGGCGTTGTAGGGAGGTCATACAGGCACGTGGAGGCCACACACACTACTGAGCCTCATTTTGACTTGTTTTAAGGACATTACATCAAAGTTGGATCAGCCTGTAGTGTGGTTTTCCACTTTAATTTTGAGGGTGACTCCAAATCCAGACCTCCGTGGGTTGATAAATTTGATTTCCATTGATAATTTTTGTGTGATTTTGTTGTCAGCACATTCAACTATGTAAAGAAAAAAGTATTTAATAAGATTATTTCATTCATTCAGATCTAGGATGTGTTATTTTAGTGTTCCCTTAATTTTTTTGAGCAGTGTATATATTTTTTAATACATTTGCAAAAACTCTAAAAACCTGTTTTTGCTTTGTCATTATGGGGTATTGTGTGTAGATTGAGGAGGGAAAAAAACAGTTTAATCAATTTTAGAATAAGGCTGTAACGTACAAAATGTGGAAAAGTCAAGGGGTCTGAATAATTTCCGAATGCACTGTATATGACCCTCTCTGACTGTGTATGTGTGTTTGTGTGCGTGTGTCTGTGTGTATGTGTGTTTGTGTGCGTGTGTGTGCGTGTGACTGTGTGTCTGTGTGTTTGTGTGCGTGTGTCTGTGTGTATGTGTGTTTGTGTGCGTGTGACTGTGTGTCTGTGTGTTTGTGTGCGTGTGTCTGTGTGTATGTGTGTTTGTGTGCGTGTGACTGTGTGTCTGTGTGTTTGTGTGCGTGTGACTGTGTGTCTGTGTGTTTGTGTGCGTGTGTCTGTGTGAATGTGTGTGTAGCAGCACAAGGTCTGGTGAAAGCCTTGCTACAGGTGGATCCAACAGAGAGACTGACAGCAGCGCAGACTCTGAAGCATCCCTGGATTCAGACCAGTACAGACCAGTACAGACCAGTACAGACCACTACAGACCACTACAGACCACTACAGACCAGTACAGACCACTACATACCATCACAGACCAGTACAGACCAGTACAGACGATTACAGACCATTACAGACCAGTACAGACCACTACAGACCAGTACAGACCATTACAGACCATTACAGACCATTACAGACCAACACAGATCAGTACTGACCAGTACAGACCATTACAGACCAGTACAGACCACTACAGACCATTACAGACCCGTACAGACCAGTACAGACCATTACAGACCATTACAGACCAGTACAGACCAACACAGATCAGTACTGACCAGCAGAGCCCAGCAGAGCTCAGAACAGATCATTACCGACCAGCACAGAGTCCAACCCCTACAAACCAGTACCGACCAGCACAACCCAGTAAAGAGCAGCACAGATCACTACAGACCATCAGAGAGCATCAAAATCATCAACCCAACTCAACTCATCGACAGCCCCAATCAACGAGTCGTCTGCTCCAACAAGATCACACCTCAACCCCCACATCCAATCCCCCCAGCCCACCACCCACCCAGCCAGCCCACTGTTCTCACTCCACCACCCAACAGGGCCCATCAACTCCCCCCCAGCAGCACATCTCAACCCCCCCACCCAATCTCGTCACACTCTGTCCTATCCACAGCACCACCCCAACCCAGCCCCCACCAACCAGGCAGAACCCCTCAATCCCTCCTTCCACTTTCCCCAGCCTCCCTCGAAACACCCACCCTGTCCCAGCCCACCAAACACCCTGTCTCATCCCACCAAACACCCTGTCCCAGTCCACCAAACACCCTGTCCCACTCCACCAAACACCCTGTCCCAGTCCACCAAACACCCTGTCCCACTCCACCAAACACCCTGTCCCAGTCCACCAAACACCCTGTCCCAGTCCACCAAACGACCTGTCCCAGCCCACCAAACACCTTGTCCCAGTCCACCAAACGACCTGTCCCAGCCCACCAAACACCTTGTCCCAGTCCACCAAACACCCTGTCTCAGCCCACCAAACACCTTGTCCCAGTCCACCAAACGACCTGTCCCAGCCCACCAAACACCTTGTCCCAGTCCACCAAACGACCTGTCCCAGCCCCACCAAACACCTTGTCCCAGTCCACCAAACACCCTGTCCCAGTCCACCAAACACCCTGTCCCACTCCACCAAACACCCCTGTCCCAGTCCACCAAACACCCTGTCCCAGTCCACCAAACACCCTGTCCCAGTCCACCAAACACCCTGTCCCGCCCACCAAACACCCTGTCCCAGTCCACCAAACACCCTGTCCCACTCCACCAAACACCCTGTCCCACTCCACCAAACACCCTGTCCCACTCCACCAAACACCCTGTCCCAGCCCACCAAACGACCTGTCCCAGCCCACCCCACCCCACCCCTCCAGCAGTGTACCACCCCCCAGTAGCAGCACCCCTCCAAATCTCCCCAGCCCCACTTCCCCTCAACCCAGCCTCCTGATTGATGGGGTTCCTGAGACTTTAAACACTTCTCCAGGACTTGTAAAGATCTGATCAGACCCTGTTCAGGATTTATGTATGGTGGAATGCACCCATTGCCATACACTGATGTTCAGTTCCTCTCCAATGATATAGACATAGAAACTTTACAATTTAGGTTGTAGTATTTAGTTCAGTAGATTATCTCATATCTAACATTACAGATAACTAATAGTTTCAAGAAATGTTTTTTTCTGACACTGTGTAGTACACACACTAGTAATAACTTACTCCTGAGTGGCGCAGTGGTCTAAGGCACTGCATCGCAGTGCTAACTGTGCCACTAGAGATCCTGGTTCGAATCCAGGCTCTGTCGCAGCCGGCCGCGACCGGGAGACTCATGGGTCGTCCAGGGTAGGGGAAGGAATGGCCGGCAGGGATGTAGCTCAGTTGATAGAGCATGGCGTTTGCAACGCCAGGGTTGTGGGTTCAATTCCCACAGGGGGCCAGTATAAAAAAATATGTATTCACTAACTGTAAGTCGCTCTGGATAAGAGCGTCTGCTAAATGACTTAAATGTAATAAATAAAGAATTAACTTTGAACTGACGTTGTGATATATGACAATAACAAGAGGACAGCCAATCAGAATCTATTATTTATTAGTCATTGGTTTACCACAGAAGTATTTTAATACAGTGACATCATCAACAGTGGTCTAGAGCAGGGTTTCCCAAACCCGGTCCTGGGGCCCTCACCTGGGTGCACTTTTTTTTTTGCCCTAGCACTACACCGCTGATTCAAATAACCAACTCATCATCAAACTTTGATTATTTGAATCAGCTGTGTGGTGCTAGGGCAAAACCCAAAACGTGCACCCGGGGGGGTCCAGGACAGAGTTTGGGAAACTCTGGTCTAGGGAAGAGGGAGGAGGGAGGAGGGTTGCATCTATAGAAATATAATGACTAGAGTGGACAAAGCCCCTCAGACCATAGAGTTAGAATTACTAGAGTGGAGTAGGGAACAATTTTCAAAGTTTAACCAGCATCCAAGGATTTGGTTTGGAGACCATCTTGGATATGCTATTGGACCCAGTTTCCAGTATTATAATTGAAAAGTATGTTTTTATAACCTTACTAAGTGGTTAAAATGATTGTATATCAAGTTTAAAAACAATTGACCACAGCAATAGGTAAGTTACCCCAGCCCTGAGTTGTTGGAAACCAAACCCATCCTTGTTCTAACAGAGAACGATTGACAGCACTGAGACAGGTTTAAAAGACAAAGATCATCACACACTAATGTCATATCACACACAAACATCATCACACACTAATGTCATATCACACACAAAGATCATCACACACTAATGTCATATCACACACAAACGTGTCAGAAAAATAAATCATCATTATCGGCTCACTTCTGCTTCTTCTATTGGTCCGCTGGTCTGAAGAGAGTCCGCCCCCTGAGGCTAAACCCCACCTTCCTGCCCCCTGGGAGAGAGGAGGAGAGGGAGGAAGAGGAGGAGGAGGAAGGGAGAGAGGAGGAGGAGGAAGAAGAGGAGGGAGGGGCATGGGTTGCAGGCTGCAGGGGTGGCTGGCGAGAGAGAAGCTCCTTGAAGACAGAGTTCATCTGTTTACTGATGTCCTGAAAGAGAGAGAGGGGGAAGGAGGAGAGATGTTTGAGTGGCCTCAGACCTACAGTATCCAGACCCACCTATCTCCAAATGAAACACCTGCACATCTGCAATGCTTCCAATTAACTATCTGAAATACATTTCTTTGAATGTATTTAATTTCAGCAATCTCCAGGGCGCATCACCAAAAATAACTTATTCTCCACCTACCGGTCTGTCAATAAATCCTCCATCTGTCTGTCTCTCTCCTGCTCTCAGCCTCACACTGTCAAAGGTATGCCTACGCTCCTGATTCCTGAGAGAGAGAGAGACAGAGAGAGACAGAGGGGAAAAAGGAGAGAGAGAGGGAGCGAGAGAGAGGGGGAGAGAGAAAGAACGATTGCTGATGGATTGTTTTTTGGTACATTTCAGGTGTGGTGTGTGTGCATGCGTAGCATGTCCTACCCTGTGTTTTGGCGTGTCATGGGGGAGAGGGGGATCTTTTGGACGGGGCTTCCGCTGCTCTCCACTGCCCTCTGTCTCCCAGGCAACGAAGCACTGTCACTGTTCACCCGCAGCCTGTCAAACACACACCACACACACACACAGACCTTTATTAGTTCTTGATATATGCAGTTAGACCCCCTCGTGGGTCTTCAGAGCGCACGCGTGTGTATGTACCGCGTTGTGTTCTCAGTCAGAAGCTCTTCTGAAGCCAGGTTTCCAGTGCTTCCTCCACTGTCCTCCTCCCTCCTCCCTCGCTCCGCTCTGGAGAAGAGAGAGACAACAAGGGGAGTGAAGAGAGACGGAAGAGGTGTTTCTCAAAATGGTTAAACTGTCTCTCAGCGATATTGTTAACGTTTCACTCACCCTTCCAACACGCTGATGTATTTGTGTGGTATGAGGCCCCTAACTCCTCCCACTTCCCCTCTCCACCAATCAGAAGAGGCCTTGCTGTGCAGGAGGAGGGACTCCCCTTGTTTGAAGGACAGCTCAGTAGCAGACCGAGCTGTGTAATCAAACATGGCCACCGCCTCCCATTCTAAAGGAGGAAGAAAACGTTAGTGTGTGTTTGATTGTGTATGTGTGTGTGTGTGGTGTGTGTGTGTGGTGTGTGTGTGTGTGTGTGGTGTGTGTTGTGTGTGTGTGTGTGTGTGTGTGTTGTGTGTGTGTGTGTGGTGTGTGTGTGTGTGTGGTGTGTGTGTGTGTTTGTGTGTGGGTGTGTGTGTGTGTGTGTGTGGGTGTTGTGTGTGTGTGTGTGTGTGTGTGTGTGCTCACCATCCTCACTGTGGAGTTGTTCAGTCTCTCCATCTCCCTCCTCTGTGATTGGTTCACTACAAACAGAGACAACATCAGTATTTCTCTCTCTGTTCCTGTAAGCAATATGGTCAGTAGTGCCAGCATAAAATATGTTAAAATGTGACAAAATTATTATGGTCTATAAACCAGGATACTCATTAGTATCTCTCTATATCTCTCTATCGATAAACCAGGACACTAGTCAGTATCTCTACATCTCTTTCTATCAATAAACCAGGACACTAGTCAGTATCTCTACATCTCTTTCTATCAATAAACCAGGACACTAGTCAGTATCTCTACATCTCTTTCTATCAATAAACCAGGACACTAGTCAGTATCTCTAGCTCTCCCGAGTGGTGCAGGGGTCTAAGGCACTGCATCTCAGTGCTTGAGGCGTCACTACAGACCCCCTGGTTCGATTCCAGGCTGTATCACTAGTTAGTATATCTCCATCGCTCTCTATCCATAAACCAGGATACTAGTTAGTATCTCTATATCTCTTTCTACCAGGAAACTAGTTAGTATCTCTATATCTCTTTCTACCAGGAAACTAGTTAGTATCTCTATATAACCAGGATACTAGTTAGTATCTCTATATCTCTTTCTACCAGGAAACTAGTTAGTATCTCTATATAACCAGGAAACTAGTTAGTATCTCTATCTCACCAGTACTCCTGCTCCAGAGTCATGTGTTTCTCATACACAGGACCGGGCAGCTCTGATTGGCTGGGGAAGATGACATCATACTGGAGGATCATGGTCTTGACGAGGTCGTTGACCTGCGGTTGCCTAGCAACAACATCCCCAGAATCTGACCCTCTCAGGAGGCTCGGCCCGAAACACACCGCCAGGTTATAGGGCTGCATCATGTTCTCATCACTGTACTGGGACACACTACAGACACGCACACACACACACACCGCCAAGTTATACAGCTGTGTAAGGGAGTTGGGTCAGTAAAGGTTCAGGGTATGAATGTGCAAACTGAAACGTACTGGTTGAGAAAAGCGAACAGGTAACGTATGACGATGAGGAGCAGCCGAGGGAAGGAAGAGACAACTGTCTTTATCTGTGCTGCTTTCTCTGTCAATCCCTCATTCTCTGAGAGAGAGAGAGAGAGAGAGGAGAGAGGAGCAAGAGACAGAGAGAGAGAGAAAGTCATACAGTATGATTGTAAAGTGCATAATGATTATTATTATACAGTGTGTGTGTGTGACACTTACGGACACAGTCCAGTAGTTCTGAGTAATACTGGTCAGGGAACAGTGGAGGGTCCAGGCCTCTGAAGTACAGCTTCAACACTCCAGCCACCGAATCAATGTCGCAGTCACTGTCTGCAAGAGGGTCCTCTCCTACACACACATACACGCACACGCACATACACACACAAAACGCACACACACACACGCACCCATAACACACACACACACCACAACACCACCACACACACACACACACAACCACACACACATCCACACACACACACCACAACACCACCACACATCACACACGACACCACACACCACACCACACGCACCACACACCCAACATCCACACACACACACCACAACCCCCACACACACACACGCACACACACGCACACACACACACATAAACACACAAACGCACTAACATGTTGCTGACAACTCTACTTCCATGCGCACACACACTGTGACACCAAATATAATCTTTGCATGGGCATCTGACCCAACACTCCCCAATACCTGTGTCAGGCAGCACCTACAGTCACCCTCAAAATTATTGACACCCTTGATAAAGATGAGCAAAAATGATTGATAAAAAATCATACAAATGCCTTTACTATATTGTATGCCAGAAAAATGTGGGAATGTTACTGTATATTATTTTATACAAATAAAATTGCTCAGAGAAAGAGATTTTGTGTAAAAAATTAAAATAAAGTTTTAAGAAATCTTGAAAAAGAAAGGTGTGAAAATTATTTATGATTATTAATGATTGTTATAAATAAAATCAAACAAAAATTTTATCTGCGTTAACATTCTACTTTTTAAAGTTAATCTCAGTTTAAGGAACTGTATTGTGGCCATTAATGGCTTCCTGTTTCACAGGAGTATAAAAATGAGGTAATGTGCATGTAAAATCCATTTGTCATCCATCACAATGGGGAAAGGAAAGAACTCACAAATGAAAAGAGACAAATGGTTGTTGACTTTCATAAATCAAGCAATACAAAAAGTACTAATAATAATGATTAATAATAACTACCACCATTATGGCAACAATTTTGAAGTTTATAACCACTGGAACAGTGGTAAACTTGCCTAATAGAGGACCCAAGTGTATCTTGTCCCCACACACAGTGAGGAAGCTGTTTCGGGAGGCAAAGAAGTTCAAGGGCCACAGTTGGAGAATTACAGAATTTGGTCGCATCTTGAAGTCACAAAGTCTCCAAATCTACAATTAGACACCACATCCTGTCACGCCCTGGCTCTGGGGACTCTTTCATGTTGAGCCAGGGTGTTAGTTTCTATGTTTAGTTTTCTAGGTTTATGTTCTAGATCGTGTGGATCTATGTTGGCCAGGGTGGTTCCCAATCAGAGGCAGCTGATTCTCGTTGTCTCTGATTGGGAACCATACTTAGGCAGCCTGTTTGGCACAGTTAATTGTGGGATCTTGTTCTGTATAGGTTTGTGTTGGTGAACCTGTAGACTTCACATATCGTTTTGTTATTTGGTCCTCTGTAGCTCAGCTGGTAGAGCACGGCGCTTGTAACGCCAAGGTAGTGGGATTCGATCCCCGGGACCACCCATACACAAAAAATTTATGCACGCATGACTGTAAGTCGCTTTGGATAAAAGCGTCTGCTAAATGGCATATTATTATTATTATTATTATTATTATAAGTACTCATTAAAAGATGTACGCATATCACGCTGCGCATTGGTCCGTTTCTTACGATGATCGTGACACATCCATGCCAATAGATTCTTTGGAAAGGTTGCCTGAAAAAAAACTTTATTGAGAGTAACCAACAAATGTAAACGCCTGGAGTTTGCTAAAAGATTACACAAAAACAAAGCTCTTTAGCCTCGCACACCAGCAGTGGGTCAACGGCATCATGAACTTTACGGTGTACCAGGACATTTTAGCCAAAAACCTGGTTGCCTCCGCAAGAATGCTGAAACCTGGCCGCAAGTGGATCTTCCAGCAAGACAATGACCCCAAGCACACATTAAAATCCACAAAGAAATTGGTTAATTGAACACAAAATGAACATTTTGCAATGGCCATCTCAGTCACCGGACTTGAGCCCCCATTGAAAACCTGTGGTTTGAATTAAAGAGGGCAGTCCATAAGCGCAGACGAAGGATATTAAGGATCTGGAAAGATTTTATACGGAGGAATGCCTAAGATCCCTCCCAATGTGTTATTCAATCTCATAAAACATTTTAGAAAAAGGCTCAGTGCCGTTATCCTCACAAGGGGAGGGTGCAAAAAGTTTTGAAAACGGGTGCCAATCATGTTGAACTTTTTTTTATTACTTGTTAAACAAAATATTTTTATTTGAGAAATTCTTTTTTTAAATAAAAACTCTAGCTCAGTATTTGTATTATTTATTTTTATACAGTATTTTTTGCTAATATTTATCAAGGGAGCCAATCATTTCCAATGTGACTGTGTGTACCTCTCTCAAATACATCTCTGATGTGGTTGACCTCTCTCTGGGACCCTGGAACACGGAATATCCCCTCATGGTGCAGACCGTGAAGATTTATGAAGCGAATGCAGCTTTCAACTACCACAGGAATCTGCTGCCCTGAACTCTGAGAGAGAGAGAGAGAGAGAGAGAGAGAGAGAGAGAGAGAGAGAGAGAGAGAGAAGAGAGAGAGAGAGAGAGGAGAGAGAGAGAGAGAGAGAGAGAGGAGAGAGAGAGATATAGAGATCTCCGCTCTCTCGTTCTCCTCTCCCTCTATTTTTCTCTCGCGCGTCTCGCGTCGCTCGCTCTCTCGCACTCTCGCTCTCCACCCTTTCTCGCGTCTCCCTCTCCCTCTCCCTCACATTTCTTCGTCCGTATCATCGTACTCACGCTTCTCGTACGTTCTTATTTATATCGATTACATAGATCCTTCATTCTTCTCTAGCCATTTATCTATTAAATCTAAATATACACTTTCTCTCTTCGCGCTCGCTCGCCTCTTCTTCCCCCCCCCCGCCCCCCACCCTCTCCCACACCCCACCATGAGCATAGAGTCCCCTACATAAATACTCTGTTGATCTAGACCTATTCTCATTCTCCTCCTCTTTCTGGTTTCCGCCGGTACACTGCACGGCCGTCCAAGCACGGCGAGCAGGTGGGAATTAGGACCACATAAAGGAGTAGCAAGGGAGAGATTGAAGTCAAGAAGATTATAAAGTCATGGGTGATAAGAAGCGCAATTCAGGGAACAGGCACAATACGCCTCTACCACAGCCATGATTAGAGATACAGAGGACTACTGTTAAATATCTGCAACGCAAACAGGAGTGAGGAGAGAGACTGCCATTGGTTAGATATCTACACCATGAGGTATAAAAAGGAGAGAGACTTGTTTAATATCACTGCAGCCGAGTAAGGAGACAGACTATATCTGTTTAATATCAACAGGAGTAAGGAGAGAGACCTATGTTTTACGTCATGTCACACAGGAGTCGGAGGAGAAGAGACCCACTGTTTTAATATATTCACACCATGAGTAGGGACAGAGACTGCGGCGTCTGTTTTTAATTCACACCAGGAGTAGGAGAAGACCGACTGTTAGTCTATCACACAGGAGTTAGGAGAGAGGACTACTGTTTAATTATCACCAGGCTTAGGAGACGAGACCTCACTGGTTTAATATCAACACCCAGGAGTATGAGAAGAGACTACTGTTTTAATATCATCGGATAGGAGAGAGACTACTGTTTAACTACTATCACACAGGAGCTATGAGAGAGACTCCTGTTTAATTCACAACATTAGAGGAGAGAGACTACTTTTAAGATCTCAGACGGGTATAGAGAGACTACTGTTTTGATCTTAGACATAGGAGTAGGAAAGAGAGACTATTGTTTATATCACACAGGAGTAGGATATAGACCTACTGTTTAAATATCACCAGGATAGGAGCAGCTACTGTTTAAGATGCTTAGACAGGAGTAGGAGAGCGACTACCGTTCAATATCACACAGGAGTAGCAGAGAGACACTGTTTTAAGATCTCAGACGGAGTAGGAGGAGAGTCTACTACTTTTCAAGTCTCCTCAGAGAGGAAGTAGGAGAGAGACTACTGTTCACGCTCTCTCAGACAGGAGTAGGGTAGAGACTAGCTGTTTTAATATCACACCTGAATAGGAGATAGACTACTGTTTAAGATCCTTCAGACAGTTTAGGAGAGACTACTGTTTAATATCACACAGGAGTAGGAGAGAGACTACTGTTTAATATCACACAGGAGTAGGAGAGAGACTACTGTTTAATATCACACAGGAGTAGGAGAGAGACTACTGTTTAATATCACACAGGAGTAGGAGAGAGACTACTGTTTAAGATCTCAGACCGGGTATGATGGAAGGAGACTACTGTTTTAAGACTCAGACACGGAGTAGGTGGAGAGAGACAAACTGTTTAGATTCTCACAGCACAGAGTAGGAGAGAGACTACTGTTTAAGATCTCAGACAGGAGTAGGAGAGAGACTACTTTTCAAGCTCTCAGAGAGGAGTAGGAGAGAGACTACTGTTTAATATCACACAGGAGTAGGAGAGAGACTACTGTTTAAGATCTCAGACAGGAGTAGGAGAGAGACTACTGTTTAATATCACACAGGAGTAGGAGAGAGACTACTGAATAATATCACACAGGAGTAGGAGAGAGACTACAGTTTATATTACATTACACCGTAGTAGGAGAGAACTACTGATTAAATATCACACAGAGTAGGAGATAACTACTTTTTAATATCACCCAGGAGTAGGGGAGAGTGAGACCCCCTGTTTAAGACCTCCTGACAGGAGTAGGAGAGAGACTACTTTTCAAGCTCTCAGACAGGAGTAGGAGATAGACTACTGTTCAAGCTCTCAGACAGGAGTAGGAGAGAGACTACTGTTCAAGCTCTCAGACAGGAGTAGGAGAGAGACTACTGTTTAATATCACACATGAATAGGAGAGAGACTAATGTTTAAGATCTCACACAGGAGTAGGAGAGAGACTACTGTTTAATATCACACAGGAGTGGTCAGAGAGAACCACTGTTTAAGATCTCAGTCACGGAGTAGGAGAGGACGATACCTGTATTAGAGCTCCCAGACGAGTAGAGAGAGACTACACTCGTTTAATATCACACAGGAGTAGAGAGAGAGACCTACTGTTTTAATATCACAACAGGAGTAGGAGAGAGATACTGATTCTATGTCTCACACGTCAGGATAGAGAGCAGAGACTACTGTTTAAGATCTCAGACGGTAATAAGGAGAGAGACTACGTTTAAGACATTCTCCAAGACAGGACGTAGGAAGAAGACCAACTGTTTAAGAATCTCACATGTCATGGATCGTGAGAGAGACTAGACGTTTAATATCGTTTCAGACCGCAGTAAGGGTGAGAGACTACTTTTCACAGCTCGTTCAGAGAGGCAGATAGAGAGATGACTACTCTACTTACTACTGTTTAATATCACACAGGAGTTAGGAGAAGAGACTATACTGTTTAAGATCTCAGACCAGGAAAGGAGTAGGGAGAGATAAGTACTACTGTTTCATAGTCACATCACACAGAGTAGGAGGAGAGACTCTGTTTAAGATCGCAAGACAGGGAGTAGGAGAGAGAGAACTAAACTATGTTTAATATCACACAGAGTAGGAGAGAGACTACTGTTTTAATATCTCAGACAGAGTCGGAGAGAGACTACTGTTTAATATCTCAGACAGGAGTAGGAGAGAGACTACTGTTTAATATCTCAGACAGGAGTAGTTGAGTGAGACTATGTTTAATTATCACAACAGGAGTATGGAGAGAGACTACTGTTTAATATCACCAGGAGTAGGAGAGACTACTGTTCAAGCTCTCAGAGAGAGGAGAATTGAGGCGAGTGAAGAGAGAGAGAGAGTGGCAGAGACCGCGACTAGATCAGAGACCAGAGACAGAAGACAGGACAGAGATCAGAGGACAGAGACAATGACAGAGAGAGAGTAGAGAGAACAAATACATACTTCATGACATGTTTCCAATGTTTATTCAAACTGTTAGTTTTTGTTTTGGACCAGGGAGATACAGTAGATGCCCTGAAAGTTCCGTTCACACACTGTATATCTCTCCAACACATATTAGCATTATGACATATTAGCATTATGAATATTGAGTGGTTGTGCTGTGTTACCTGTACTGACCCAGCATATCAAGTGAAGAGAGTGGCGCTCAGGACATGGAAACATGGTCTGGACCGCGCATCATAGTGCGCGACGTGACCCTACAACTGCATTCCTGGGAGATATACCGCCTCACTCCACATCATACACTGATACACACACGCAAACATACACACATCATGGTTTTCAACAATAAAAAATGTAGTGTTGCTAGGATTTGGATCTCTCTCTCTTTTTCTCTCTCATCTGTCTCATCTATCTGTGGTCTCTCATCTTCTCTCTCTCTCTCTCTCTCTCTTCTCTCTTCCTCTCTCTCTCTCTCCTCTCCCCTCTCTCCTCTTCCTCTCCCCCTCTCTCTCCTTCTCTCCCTTTTCCCCCCTTCCCAAACGGTGCGGAAAAACCAAAGGGGGGGGGGTTTTTTGGGGGGGGGAAATGGGAGGGGGGGGGGGCGGAGAAAAAGGTGGGCAATGGGGTTTTGGGGGCAAGGGGGGTTAGCCCCGGGAGGGTGGTTTTTCTTCTCCTTTCTATTCTTCTTTTAAAAACCAAAGTTTTCCCCAAAGCCCGGGCCGGTCATTTGGGGGCCGGAAATCAAATTTCCGGGGGGTCGGGTTCCCCCGGGGTCTGGGGGTTTGGGGGTTTTTATTCGTTGTTGAGTTTCTGGTTTCTGGGGGGGTTGGGGTTTTGGTGTGAAAATTTTTTAAAGTAGTGGAAATACATATAGTTAACAGTTATAATTTATTAGTATAATTGTATATAGTTAGTATAATGTGTAAAGGGGAAAATTTTAATAGTAGAGTACATATTGAATTAGTAGAACAGTATATATAGTAGTAGTACGAAATTTGTTATGTGTATGTACAGTAGAAAGTACAGTTTAGTACAGTTGTAGTATATATAGACAGTATTAGACTAGTAGGACGTATATTATGTTATTATGTATTATATAGTGAAATTAGTAGTAGTTCTAGTTACATAGTAAGTCCCTATTAGTAATCGTAGTAAGGTAGGGGCGTTTTTTTGTGTTTGTTTTCGTTTTTGTGTGTAGTATCAATTACAGTTAGACGTTATAAGTATATTGTATTGTACAGTGTGGAAGTAGTTTTGTGTCTATGTATTAGAAGTAGTATTTTTAAAGATTTTGTAGTATACTAGTAGTACAGTAGTAGTACAGTAGTAGCACCTTTTTGTATGGCCTCCTGCAGCAGGTCATGTTTAGCCTGTAGTTTGGAGATCAGGGAGCTTCCAGTCAGATACTCCTTCACTTTCTGACAAACGACGGAAACACAGATACACTCTTTTACCTTTACACAGCTTTAGCTCAGTGGGCTAACACAGTCTTGTGTTGTTCAGATGTCCCGGTTTCAAACCCAGTTGGTCAAAGACGCAATCCATAATACTACAATTAGACTACAATCAGGACCTTCCCCTGACCAATCGGGATGTCCTCACCATAAAGTAGAATGTCTCTGTCTCCTGCTGATTGGCTCTCCGCTTGGCAAGGGCTAGTTTGGAGGCGGAGGCAGCTCCCATGGGGTCATGTGATAGGCTGATGGGCAGGTCAGGGGCGGGATTACTGTCACTGTCACACATACTGTCCAACAGAGCGGAGAGGGTCGCTTTGAGTGTCTTAGTGACCTGTAAAATAGATCCATTACATAGAAAATCGATAAATCGATTGATCGACGGATCGATAGAAAGACGGAGAATAGAGTGATGACCTCACCTCCTCTGTTTCCAAGGTTTCGGTGGAGAGGCGGGACTGGAGCTGTTGGAACCTGGTCTCTAACTCGTACCTCACCTGGCTCTCCGCACTCACCTCGTTCACCTGGAACACACACACTACGGGTATAACAACAGGCGGTACCGATGCACCAAGCCTAGAACCAACAGGACCCTGAACAGCTTCTACCACCAAAGCCACTATTTGCTAAATAGTTAACCAAATAGCTACCTGGACTATATGCATTGACCTCCGCCCCCCCCCCCCCTGTTAGTTTTTACTGTAAGTTTACTCCTGTTGTTTACGAAGCGTGTGACAAATAACATTTGATTTGATTTTGATTTGATTCGTGTCATGTGATATAGTAGAAGAACAGCTCTTCCTGTTCCTGTCACCAGCTCCATACTTCTGATCAACTCTGTCACGGTCATCACCTAATCAACTGAATGTGTGTGTGTACCTGGTCTCCCTCATGGGGATGGTAACTGAAGCGGAAGGGCAGGCAGAACGCTGTGTCGTGGTTCTGTAGGAGAGCGTCTCTGTCTCCGCCCTGATCCAGTGATGTCACTTCCTGTTCCAGCTGCTTCAGCCCTGCCTCCTCAGACTTCAGGACACGCCCCCTGCTGGCCAGGTATGACCTTATCACTCGCTCCAAGGAGAGGTGGAACCCCAGTCCTACAACGGAGAGAAATAGATGACAAGAGAGATTGAATGGAGGGAGAGGAAGAGAGAAAGAGCGAGAGAGAGAGCGAGATAGAGAGAGAAGAGAGATAGAGAGAGAGTATAGGCGCGAGAGACAGAGATAGAGAGAGAGAGGAGAGAGCGAGATAGAACGAATAGAGAGTGAGAGAGGATAGAGAGAAGATAGAGAGAGAGGATATAGAGAGAGAGAGAGAGAGAGAGAGAAGAGACAGAGAGAGAGAGAAGAGGATGATAGAAGAGCGAGAGGAATAGAGATAGAACCATAGAGAGAGTAAAAGGGAGCTGCAGGAATTGTAAGAGGGAGTAGGGAGTGAGAAGTGCATATCTATCTCTTCTCTCTCATCTCTTCTCTATTAGCTCTCTCTACTTTTCTCTCCCTCTCTCTCTCTCTCTCTCTCTCCCTCTCTCCTTCCTCTCTCCTCCCTCCCTTGCTCCCTCTCTTCTTCCTCTTTCTCTCTCTCTCTATCTCTTCCTCTTCTCTCTCTCTCTCTTTCTCTCCCCCCATCTCTTCTTTCTCTTGCCTCTCGTCCGTCGCATCGCTCTCGTTGGTGTGAGCGAGAGCCGAGATTCCACTCATTTTCCTGTACACATTTATAATATCCCGGTGGATTACCCCCACCACCAGCCACAATCCCATAGCCACACCACACAGTCTACCCACCCCCCCCCCCGACGAAACACACCCAACACACAGACCCCCCCACCCCCACCCCCGACCCAACACACCCCCCCCCCCCACCCCACCCTCCCTACCCACATACACCTGCCCACCCACCGCCACAAGACACACACACACACCACAGACACACGACAGACACCACACACACACACACAACACACATACATACACCACATACACAAACATAGAACACACACACACATACAGACACACACACACACACACACAGACCACACAGACACACACACACACATACACAAACATAACAACAGCACACAACACAATACAGTACACACATCACACACCAGACCCACACAGACACCCAACACAGACACCCCCATACACACACACACCACACATACATACACACACCCCACCTCCATACACATATTACCACAACAAAACAGCCACCCCAATACCCCCACACCCTCACACACACATCAACCTCACCACACACCCACACCCAGCCCCCCACATCCACCCCCGCACACACCACACCCACGCATACACACCCATACATACCCCAATCACCGCACCCCATACACCACCACATACTACAACACACCCCTACCCACCCCTGGTTGTCGCCGGCCACACCCCCCAACACCCCTACCCACCCGGCCCGCCTCTCCCCCACGTCCACGCTAGCCCCCCATCACACATCCACCTCCCCCCACATACCCACTGCCCCCCCACCCCATGATTCCGCCCCATCACCCACCCACCCACTCCCTTGCCCCTTCTACCCCAAACAACCGACCACCCCTCCACCCTCCCACAAAATCCAACACACAAACAAGACACCATACACATACAACACACACCAACAACACGCCCCTCCATATATACAACCCCCACACGACCTCCACAACACACACCTACTGACACACACCCACACCACAACCTATACACACACCCCACCACCCCCCTATCTATACCAGCAAACACACAACCACATACCCGTATACACGCTCATACCCCACCAACCCACATCCCCCCCCCACCCCCCCACGACACCATATCCCACACACATCCGTACACACTCCCGTGGCCGCACCCCTCCATACATCCTTAGCATACATACTTCCCTCCCTCCTCCCTACAGAGAGACATACAGACCAACAACAGAAAGACCGACAGACAGACACACAATAACTCACGTCTATGAGTGTGCTGAGGTTCTGTAGATAGTACTTGTTCATAGTTGCGTTGGCAGCTGCCAGGTTCAGCAGATAGTCATTACGAGCCTTAGTGCACTTCAGCTGGGTCTCCTGCACTCTGCCATGTCTCTGTGGAGCACACACACATTACTGGAGCTCACATTATTGTTCCATTGTGTGTGGTTTTCATGTGGCACAGGATGTCTGACTCAAAACTCGACAAAACACGCTCCAGGCCGACTACATTGCAGACGTTGCGTTGCAACAACAAATGGCTTATGTGCCACGTCATCGACTGTGAAGTCGTGCATTAGATCGCTATATAAAAGGATGTGGTTTAGCTGTTACGTTATACACCTATCCAGACACTGTGAGATCTGTGGTCATGCCTTTTCCATCATTTTCTCCATCTTCTTCACAGAGCTCCGCCTCTGGCTTCCTGACTGGGTTATCCCCAGGTCAGCGGACTTGCCCGTCTGTCTCTCCTCCAATCGTGTGGCTTCCTTCAGTTTCCCCTCAGCTATCAGACTGTCAGTATGGTACTGGTGGTAGGTCCTCAGAGCCTATACACACACACACCACACACACACCACACACACACACACCACACACACACACACACACACACACACACACACACACACACACACACACACACACACACACACACACATACACACACCACACACACACACACACACACACACACACACACACCACACACACACACACACCACACACACATACACATATAATGCTGGTAAAACCATCTCCATCTTTTTACTGTCATCCTCATCTGTAGTGACTAAAGGTACGTTCGTACCGTCTGCAGTTCAGTGGTGACTTTCAGCAGCTCGTCTTGCATCTGCACTCCAACCTCCTTACTCTAGATCAGAGACAAATCAGTCATCAGAGATTAATCAGTCAGAGACGGATCAGTCATCAGAGACAAATCAGTCATCAGAGACACATCAGTCATCAGAGACGAATCATTCATCAGAGATTAATCAGTCAGAGACAAATCAGTCATCAGAGATTAATCAGTCAGAGACAAATCAGTCATCAGAGATTAATCAGTCAGAGACAAATCAGTCATCAGAGATTAATCAGTCAGAGACAAATCAGTCATCAGAGACGAATCAGTCATCAGAGACACATCAGTCATCAGAGACGAATCATTCATCAGAGATTAATCAGTCAGAGACAAATCAGTCATCAGAGACGAATCATTCATCAGAGACAAATCAGTCGGAGACGAATCGGTCATCAGAGACGAATCAGTCATCAGAGACGAATCAGTCGGAGACGAATCAGTCGGAAACGAATCGGTCATCAGAGATTAATCAGTCAGAGACAAATCAGTCGGAGACGAATCGGTCATCAGAGACAAATCAGTCATCAGAGACAAATCAGTCATCAGACAATCAAAACTATCACATTTTCACTATTATATTGTGGAGTTGTGTAGATCAGTAAAAAATACATAGACTTGGCTGGAAGGCAACGAAAGTGGGTAGATCATTTTCTAGGGACTGTAAGTATGAATATGTGTACCCGTTTAGCCAGTCGGTGTGTGTCCTCGGAGCAGTGTGTGAGTCGCTGTGTGAGTGTGTGTGAGCAGGAGTCACTCAGCGCAGCGTGTTCTCTGCTCTCTGCACGTGTCTGAGTCAACAGAACTGACCAACACTGAGACACCGACTGACAGCTCTGCTCCTTCCTACAGGGGGGAGGGTGGGGAGGCAGACGGGGAGAGACAGAGGGGAGAGACAGAGGGGGGAGACAGAGGGGAGAGACAGAGGGGGGATACAGAGGGGGGAGAACAGAGGGAAGCGAGAGGGAGAGAGTTAAAGAAATGAACATGATATTATTGTTGAGTTTCCTATACCAACATTACATCAATAATAACGTCTGCTGGTCAGTATAATCTCTGATCAAACAATAACATTGAATAAACAATGCGAAGAATAAAATGTTTTCACACACAAACACACCTCTTGGTCTTCAGGGTGAACCGCTCTGTGAGTTTGTCGAGGGCGCGGGCGTACTCTGCCTCGATGTCGCCACGACGACGGAAGAACTCAGACAGGTCAGACAGCTGTTGACCTTTGACTTCCACCTGACTGTCCAGAACCTTCATCTGGTCACACAGCTGGGCCCGCAGGTCTATACACAAACACACACACACACACACACACACACACACACACACACACACACACACACACACACACACACACACACACACACACACACACACACACACACACACACACACACACAACACCACACACAACGTCAACACGTAGCGGACATGACTCACGGTCTCGTGATGAGGTAGCCCTGTGGGAGACCAGGATTCAAATCCCACTTGTGAAAATGGCGCCCAACTGTGGGACGATGTCTCATGGAGGAGGAAGTCAAAGGCGGGTGAATGTAGCGGACCTGAGTCGGGCTCATAGTCTCGTGGTGAGGTAGCCCTGCCTGCTACTTCAAAATCACTATCGCCTAAGAGGGAATAACCTTTTGGTCTAATGGTAAGACTTTGGTTTCTCCTGTGGGAGACCAGGATTCAGATCCCACCAGTGACACATTCACATACGTATATGAACACACATGACAACAGGAGCAATCAGACATTAGATGCAGTGTATGTATGAATACCCACACACACAGAGACATGTATAGTTGTATGTTCTCACCTTTTATCTGGGAGTCATACTCGTACAGACTCCCTCTCTGCATCCTCAGCTTCCCGTGTGATGTCATCATGTCTGCCCCTGACCCCTGACCCCTAACCTCTAACTTTGTCTATGGATCCTCCAGGTCTCCAATATGAGTCTGTCTAAGCCGATGAACCTAAGCCAGACAGACAGACAGACAGACAGACAGACAGACAGAGAGAGAGAGAGATCAGTGCTGTAGGGTTAGAATTCACACACACACCCCTGCTGCTTACACAACCTGAGGTTTGACCACATCTGTTGAATCAACAGACAGCTTCACCTTGCCTTTTAGAACCTCCTCCATGCTGCTTTCACTTATCCTATAAAAAAATTGTCTAGCACATGCTAACCCACTGACAGTTAAACTGGCTAGCACATGCTAACCCACTGACAGTTAAACTGGCTAGCACATGCTAACCCACTGACAGTTAAACTGGCTAGCACATGCTAACCCACTGACAGTTAAAGTGTCTAGCACATGCTAACCCACTGACAGTTAAAGTGTCTAGCACATGCTAACCCACTGACAGTTAAACTGGCTAGCACATGCTAACCCACTGACAGTTAAACTGGCTAGCACATGCTAACCCACTGACAGTTAAACTGGCTAGCACATGCTAACCCACTGACAGTTAAACTGGCTAGCACATGCTAACCCACTGACAGTTAAACTGGCTAGCACATGCTAACCCACTGACAGTTAAACTGGCTAGCACATGCTAACCCACTGGTTATTAGCTGGAACATATGTGGGTAGGCTATAGGTATAAGAAGAGGCTCAGAAACAGCTGCTCCAATAGAAATCCCTGAGCATGCTACTAAGCATTGTGACACACACACACACTCACACACACACCTAAACAAATTCATAGGCACAATTCTTGTACATATCCACATACACACCATTAAGACACACACACACACACACTCACACACACACACACTCACACACACACACACTCACACACACACACACTCACACACACACACACACAATATGAAGCAGTGTCATGGCGGTGTTGGCTAGCTGAGCTCATGCGCAGACACACACCTAAACAAATTCATAGGCACAATTCTTGTACATATCCACATACACACCATTAAGACACACACACACACACACACACACACACACACACACTGACAATGCTGCACTAACATTACATCATTAATGATCTAACAGTCATATTCCATCCATTATACATGGATCCATCAGCATACGCAGTGTCACTGCAGTCACACACACACACATACACACACACACACATACACACACATACACACACACACACATACACACACGCCTCTGTCGTAGCTATAAATAACGCAACCCATGACAACCATACCTCACGGGTTAGTCCTCTTTCCCTCTTTCCCTCTTTTCACCTACCTCACTTCATCTCTTTATCCTCTTCTCCCTCTTAACTCTATTTTCCCTTCTCCTCTCCTCCCGCATCGGAGACCAGTCGTCCTACCCTTTCTCACCCTCCGTTTACACCACTCAAAACCTCCTCGTCCCTCATCCTTTTTTTCCCCCTTTCAAACACCTCCTTTCTTCCCCTTTCTCCCGCCCTTCAACACGTACGAAATGAGCGTCGCCCATACCCGCACCTCCAACACACAATCGAAAAAAAGACAACCAGGAAAGCGACAAAAACAAAAATCAGGGAAACACAACACCCACCCTCCCCTCTCCCTCCCCCTCCCCCCCCCTACAACGCTCTCCCTTCCCCTCCCTTCCCCTCCCTCCCCCTTCTTCTCCCCCCTCTCCTTCCCCCTCTCCCTCCCTCTCCCTTCCCTCTCCCTCCCCGTTCCCTCTCCCTCCCCTCCCCCTCTCCCTCCTCCACCCACTCCCGCCTGCTCCCCCTCTCCCTCCCCCTCCCCCTTCCCCTCTCCCTCTCCCCCCCTTCCCCCTCTCCCTCCCTCCCCCTCTCCCTCCCCTCTCCCTCCCTCTCCCTCCCCTCCCCCCTCCCCCTCCCCCTCTCCCACACACACAGCCCTCCTCTACTACCCGTACCACTACTATTTTGAATAATAATCACAACTATAATAATATAATAATAGTAATAATACTGATAATAATAATAACAATAATAATAATAATAATAATAGTAAAAACAATAATACTGATAATAAGTAAGTTACTGTTTACTATGCAGATGTTATTATTCAGTGTCCCTCAGGCTATGGCAGGCAAATACATATTTGGCTGCAAGAGGAGCCGTTGCTCCTTCGTCCATGACTATTTTTTGTTTTTCCTCTGGGTTTAATAAGTTAAAATGTGGAATAAATGTAGTCATTTCTGTGAATAATGAATCTCTTGGTGAGGAATATTTATCACAGTAAAGGAGAAAGTGCATCTCTGTCTCTACCTCCCCTGTCGTGCAGTGACCACATACACGCTCCTCTTTGGGTAGCCATGTCTTTTTATGTCTGCCGGTTTCTATTGCCAATTGGTGGTCACTCAGCCTTTTACTTGCTAAGGATCTGTCTCTGCTTCGTATCTCTGACAGAGTAGAGATAATCAACCAATTAATATTCAATTAATATTCTCCCTCACACATGAACAGCCCTCCTCTCTGTCTCTCTATCTCTCCCTCTCTCACATACACAGCCCCCCCCCCCCCCCCCCACACACACAGTCCTCTCTCTCTCTATGAGTGAATGTCATAACCTAAGCCACGCCCCCATCCTGTGCTCTTTTCTCCTCGAGGCCTACACTAGAAACACCATAACAGATAGTCTTCTCATCTCAGCTTCCCTCCCTCCCTCCCTCTCCTTCCATCTCTCCCTCCTTTTCTCTTTCACACCATGAAATGTTTTTTCTGATGACCTTGTATTATTTAGCTTAATACCATCACCATCACCATCGCACACAGATACACAAACAGACACACATACACAGACACACACACAGCCACACACACAGACACACACACAGATACACACACAGATACACACACAGACACACACACACAGACACACACAGATACACAAACAGACACACATACACAGATACACACACAGACACACACACAGACACACACACAGACTCACACACAGACACACACAGACTCACACACAGACACACACAGACACACACACAGACTGTTGCTCACTGTCTGTGTCCTCTGCATCCTCTCTGCTCAGTCACAGCGGATGTGGTGAGGAGAGAGAAAGCTGTGAAAAACAACCTCAATCTATATATATATATACAACTGTAGCACCTGACGAGCTACACTACTGATAACACCTTTTTAAGACAGAGTGTTGCCAACAAACATGGTTCCCTGGTTGGTTAACATTCATTATTACAGCATAATAAAAACAACTGGGCATATACAGATGTAGGATCTTGATTTGACCAGCATACAGTGGCTTGCGAAAGTATTCACCCCCCTTTGGCATTTTTCCTATTTTGTTGCCTTACAACCTGGAATTAAAATGGATTTTTTGGGGGGGTTTGTATAATTTGATTTACACAACATGCCTACCACTTTGAAGATGGATTTTTGTTTTGTTTTGTGAAACAAACAAGAAATAATACCAAAAAAAAACTGACAACTTGAGCGTGCGTAACTATTCACCCCCCCCCCCCCCCCCCCCCCCCCCCAAAGTCAATACTTTGTAGAGCCACCTTTTGCAGCAATTACAGCTGCAAGTCTCTTGAGGTACAGTGAGGGAAAAAATTATTTGATCCCCTGCTGAATTTGTATGTTTGCCCACTGACAAAGAACTGATCAGTCTATAATTTTAATGGTAGGTTTATTTGAACAGTGAGAGACAGAATAACAACAAAAAAATCCAGAAAAACGCATGTCAATAATGTTATAAATTGATTTGCTTTTTAAATGAGGGAAATAAGTATTTGACCCCTCTGCAAAACATGACTTAGTACTTGGTGGCAAAACCCTTGTTGGCAATCACAGAGGTCAGACGTTTCTTGTAGTTGGCCACCAGGTTTGCACACATCTCAGGAGGGATTTTGTCCCACTCCTCTTTGCAGATCTTCTCCAAATCATTAAGGTTTCGAGGCTGACGTTTGGCAACTCGAACCTTCAGCTCCCTCCACAGATTTTCTATGGGATTAAGGTCTGGAGACTGGCTAGGCCACTCCAGGACCTTAATGTGCTTCTTCTTGAGCCACTCCTTTGTTGCCTTGGCCTTGTGTTTTGGGTCATTGTCATGCTGGAATACCCAATCCACTAATAATTTTCAATGTCCTGGCTGAGGGAAGGAGGTTCTCACCCAAGATTTGACGGTACATGGCCCCGTCCATTGTCCATTGATGCTGTGAAGTTGTCCTGTCCCCTTAGCAGAAAAACACCCCCAAAGCATAATGTTTCCACCTCCATGTTTGACGGTGGGGATGGTGTTCTTGGGGTCATAGGCAGTATTCCTCCTCCTCCAAACACGGCGTGTTGAGTTGATGCCAAAGAGCTCAATTTTGGTCTCATCTGACCACAACACTTTCACCCAGTTCTCCTCTGAATCAGTCAGATGTTAATTGGCAAACTTCAGACGGGCCTGTATATGTGCTTTCTTGAGCAGGGGGACCTTGCGGGCGCTGCAGGATTTCAGTCCTTCACGGCATAGTGTGTTACCAATTGTTTTCTTGGTGACTATGGTCCCAGCTGCCTTGAGATCATTGACAAGATCATCCCGTGTAGTTCTGGGCTGATTCCTCACCGTTCTCATGATCATTGCAACTCCACGAGGTGAGATCTTGCATGGAGCCCCAGGCCGAGGGAGATTGACAGTTATTTTGTGTCTCTTCCATTTGCGAATAATCGCACCAACTGTTGTCACCTTCTCACCAAGCTGCTTGGCGATGGTCTTGTAGCCCATTCCAGTCTTGTGTAGGTCTACAATCTTGTCCCTGACATCCTTGGAGAGCTCTTTGGTCTTGGCCATGGTGGAGAGTTTGGAATCTGATTGATTGATTGCTTCTGTGGACAGGTGGGGCAAGACAGAGGGGGAGATTAGGAGCACTCCCTTTAAGAGTGTGCTCCTAATCTCAGCTCGTTACCTGTATAAAAGACACCT